CCCCAAATTTTATTAAGAAGCACTCTCATATTCTCTAAGCTAGAATGAAAGTGTGCTATATGCTAGATATCATATAATTCTTATTTTAAGAAACTTCCTTAATGCTGGCCCAAAATCAACTAAGTATAGTTGTTCATAATATAGTTTTTATAATTATTTTAATAGTAAAAAAGGTATCTTTATGTGACTCCAGAAATAAATTTATTTACCATATTCCTCCAACATGTGTACCCAGGGTATTTCTATGGTCCATGGGTACTTGTGTAGGGGGGATATACTGTATAAATACTTCTATGTTTTCAATAGGTTTTACTATTAAATGACTTGGTACAAAAGTGTGATACCTCCATACTTATGTACCCGGGTATAAATCAAAATTTTGGCTTTAAAACTGTTGCAGGGTATAGTACACAGGGGTTACATATGTTGGAGGAATACGGTACTTATTCTTCTCAAAAATTATTAAAACCCAAGTCAAAACACTACTTTAAATATGAACAAAATCACATGTAACATTATACACACCTATAAACTAATATATACACATAGAACAAAAAATTTCTTTGAAATTCAATGAATGAAATATCGGGTTAAAAATTTTAAAATTATCTGTTACTACCTAATGTTATACCGGAGCTGATGATTTTATTGGTCAAGGTTATGAGGTATTATCTGTTATTGAATTTCGCATGATCATTATCATGTAATAATAAACCCATTATAGATTATAATTTCACGTATATTTTAATAATTGTCGCGGCTGATGCTGAAATTTTGACTTATTTTATTATGAAATTTTAAAAATTTTCGGGCCTTTTCGTTAGGGGTTTTTTTTTAGTGTTAGGTTAAGGTTTGAGGGTAGAGTTGTCAGTAAAAAGTATATGTGAATCTTAGTAGGTATTATAGATTTAAATTGGGACCCTAAATTTCAGCATCAGCCGCAACAATAATTGAACCGATATTTCAACCGCTGAGGTTCATAGGAAGGAATTCATATAATTGGTTAGTTTTTACCCGTGATTCCCGTGATAATTAACCAATCAAAATACATAATTTTTAGTACACTACAGAAAAATTTAAACTCTAATTAAATCTAATGTAATAAAATAGTTTAAAACAAAAATATTTTCAGATACCTTTACTCAACAGTATATAATTTGATATGGTCCAATAATCGGCAGGCATATTTTTCTTCTAAGTGAAGTTCTTCAGGTGATCTTTTCTGATTATTTTGCAATTTAAATATTTACGTTCTTGCGAAGCTAATTGTAAAGAAAAGATGTATTCTTTATTAATGAAACGTTACATTCTCAAAAAGTACTTTAAAATTTATAAGTAAATTACCCAAGTAATTGATTTACAGCATAGCAAAGTGGTGACAGAAAAAGTCGCGATCATGTGATTCCGAACCCTTTTGATGCAACCGAATGAACCGATTATTGTATTTAAGATAAATTATACAGTCAAACCTCTCTAAGTGCACCCTCTACAAGTGCACACCCTCTCTAAATGCACGCTTAAGTGCTGGTCCAAATACATACTTGACTTCTATAAATGCTTTTTCTTATTATTATCTATACGCACGTTGTTAAGGTGTGGGTGTACTTAGGGAGGTCTGACTGTATTACAATATATTATATAATAAGTATAATTATTAATTGATGCGTATAAATTAAAAATAATAATGAAAATTGGCAAAGTTAATATATCGATATAGTCAAGTATATATATATATATATATATATATAAATATAATACAGTAATAGAATATAAAAGCGCAAATTTTAAATCGATATAGCGAACATAAATGTAAAGCGAAAATTTGTATATTCATATGTAATCTATAATTGTTACGAAAACAGACTTTTTTAAATTAAATTTATTAAGATTATTGATTATCGTTATGTCTTTCCTTCACTTAAGTCGGAAACAGATATTGATCACCTGATCGCGAATTTTTTCTGCCGCCACTTGTTACTCAACAGCTGCAATTCCATTAACTAATACATGACTAATACGTTTTATAATATTCTTACATAAAAAACTGGTTCATATTTATATGTAATCACTTTACCTTTATATACTCAATAAATATTGAATCTGAAAATATAAAAGCGAATTACATAAAAATATGAACTGATATTTTGGTCCATTTTTGTCCGAATTTGCCTGATAGGGATTCAAAGCAAAGACCCCAATATAGCTTTAAACACTATTGCACTTTCTGAATTGTTCTTGAAGTAACAATGAAAATGCTATAAGCAGGTTATACTATTTTGCTGGGTTGTGAGAATAATCTAGAGCTGAAATTTCAACCTATATATAAAACAGTCAATTGTATAAAACAAAATAAAATTCTCTTTCGAAAATGTAGCTCACTTAAAAACTATAATTTTGAAAGAAATTGGTTAATTAATAAATTTATTTTTATGTAATGGGGTTTTCAAGACCGCTCTAATTCAGAATTGATTATGCTAATAATTTTCAAAATCAGCCGTAAAATGTATCACTAAATCGTGTCACTCATTTTCCTTACAGTAAACAAACTCCTAAAAAGGAAATCATTAATAGGTTGTTTCCGAGGTACGTACAAACGCAACACATGCTTGAAATAGGATAGTCAATATATTAGAAGCTTATTATTCTTGTTAATTATTATATCGCTCATATGCGTATAAGCAACGAAAAAGTCGCTTTCAATAAAGAATTCAAGCGAGATTTAATTTTCGAAAATGAAATTGTGTTCTAAGAAATTTTTTTATTATGAAAATTCGTTTATTGAAAGATTTTGTTCTCATAAAACATTGAAAGATAGAGAAAAAGAGAGTAAAGGCATCGAATTATATTAGAAATAGTACAGTAAGTAGATCGATAACTGATAGGCAGAATCCCCGTAGTCTCGTGACAAGTTATAGAAGTATCGTAACTGGAATTCAAGTAGAGATTAGTGCACTTTAATACATTGAAATTCAGCTTCAAAAGAGAATTAGAAAGATAAGAACAGTATAAAGTATAAAATAAAATAAAGTATAATAGTTATTACTGAATAAGAAAAATAGATTTCAATAAGTGAAGATAGGGATTATAAATTCCGAGTCATCTGACAATCGCCATCTGATAACCGCTGTAACTTCTAATTTTGAAGATTATTCCGGTCGAAACTAGCCTGTCGATGCAGATTTATTTGTTAGAAACTAAAATTGGATAATCAAGAAAAAAACTGGTACTTTATATATTGAATTTTGTAATTAAATTTTTAATTAAAATTTTAATTAATGTGACTGGCTAAATAATAACTTGCACGCATGAATATAAATTGCACGACGTAGCAAGAATAAATGGTCGCTGTGCACACACATAATAACCAGGTATTAACAAGTTAATTAAATTATGGTACACGTAAATTAAAATATTTTGTTATTCATACAATAAAAAAATAGCTCGACAAATTTTTTGTATTTATCACTATTATTATATTAATTATTTTGATTATTTTGATTACTTGATATAATACGATGATATATCAGTAGTAATATATCAAACATTAATATATCAAATAATAAAAATCATATGATAAACCAATTACCAAAAATTCGAGCAAACTTTAATTAATACGATCACATAATCATAATGAGATCAAGTTGTAGACAGATGAATTATTTGCATTTGAGATCAGTTGACATAGAATATTCTCGGAAATTGATAAAGATTATAAGCGAGACTGGTTCCTGCAATTAACAAACATCACAAGACATATGATGTTACAGAGTAAATTCAACAAGTTATTATTATTTTGTGTTATTATTTTCGAATGTATATCCTGTTGTGTGAATCGAAAATTTCAATTGATTATGTTTCACTTAACTGAAAAAAAAACATAAAATTTCAAATTTGAAACGAAAATTGCTATCGTGTGCGGAGTACGAAATGAAAAAAAAAATTCAAGAAATTATATTTCCGAAAATTCCGAAAAATAATTTGATGACGAACAAGATTAACGAAAATAATTTACTAAACTAATTAAATTATGATATAAATAGTAAAAAATTTAAAGTAATCCTGTAATCGGGTAAAAGTTCTCGATCTTGACTTCTTTGAAATTTAAGATGATTGTTTGTTATTTACCGTTTTTAGTAGATTAGAGATTTAGTAAATTCATTTCACACAATTCTGGTAAAGACCCAATGCATATTATAGTACACACATATATAAATCAGGGTTAATCAAGGTAAAGAGCATCTTCGAATTAAAGATTTAACGGTAATATATCAGTGTAACTCCAAAAAGCAATTTGTTTGGTTTCTTTCATGTTAAACTTGATAGGTTATGGAAATACCGTACAACTGATTGTGTGATTTATTTGGAAACCATGTAAATTCGTGATTGCCTAAATATGGCATATTTTACATTTGTGCCGCATTTGCTTCAGTGCTTTATCGTAATGATTGCTTATTTGGTAAAATAAATCTTTTTAATAATTGCTTTCTTAAAGAACAATTCTTATAATTTTCATTCCTTTTCACTCCTTTAATTAATTCATTATAATTCAAAAAAAAAAAAAAAAAATTTTTTTTATATTTATAAAGTTTGTATCTATAATCAATGAGAATGGAAGTTGACCTCAAAAAACGTATGTGTGAATAAGCTTAGTCATACCATTACTATTTTCAATTCATGCATCTTTATACCATAAAGTTTTTATTGGAAACGATTTTGTCCAATACAGAATGCATGCATTTTAATCATTTACACTGTCCGAATGTGATGAAATATATATATATACTTTTCGTTCTGCACATATATGCATTGTAATATATAGCGACTAGTTAAACTCAAAATTGAAACTTAACTTTTTTTTGACGATCCAAAAAACCGATAATAATATAATTACATTATATTAACACAACAAAAATAAAAAAAAAAAGCTTGACTTGTTTTTTTTTTTTTAATCTACCCTTGTTAAAATTATTTAATATATATATTTTTTTTATCTTATCTTTATGTTAGATACTCTTTACATTTCCCAACGGGCAGCAAACGCTATAGTAGCCGACGTTGCTCCTTATCGAATTTCCGCTGAAGCTTTACTAGCAATAAACACCTTTATCGATGAATTCTTATATTTTATCATAGACTCGGCAAAGTCTTTGGATTTGGTTAAAATAAAACAATCAATTTCTCAGGTGATACCCACAACATTGGGAAAAAATGCTGTGCAAGAAGCTGAACTTGAACTAAAAACTTATGTGGAAAGCGGAAATTCGGATAGTACTCTAGAAAAAACCATAGAGATCACACCTTTTCCTCTACCAAAAGTTTTTGAACAATTCCGTGCTAAATGCCAATTTTTTAGTACTTTAGGGGAACGAGGGATTGATGAACGTGATTCAAAAATGGCTCCTAATTTATATGCTAATGAAGGAATTCATATAGCTCCTAGTTTAGCTATTTATTTAACTGCTGTTTTGGAATATGTTGGTGAACATATATTAATTTTGGTGGCTAAAGCTACGGAAAAATCAGGTACTGGCGTGGCTAAATTAAAGGAAGTTTATACCGCTTTGGTCGATGATAATCAGATAAGAGCCGTATTTCGACGAACTAGTCTTAAGTTAGAATTGGAGGTTTGTTAAAGAAAATCTTGTAATTCTATTAATTACATATTTATTATTTTTTACATTTTTCTTTCTCTCTCTCTCTCTTGTTTTTTTTTATATAGGAGAAATTACAAATTAAAACTCCGGCATCTCCAATATCCCCTAAATATGCAAACTCTGAGTCTATAAAATCACCTAGATTCGCAAACATTTTATGTAAAGTATCGATTATATAATAAATTTTATTGTCATTAAAATATACTTTTATATATTACTAAAATTTAATTCAATTATTTAATTAAGATGAAGAAGAAAGTTTACTTCGATCACAAACTTCAATTAATAATGGAAGACCATTATCTGATGGCGTCACGCAAAGCACTAAAAATCCTTCTCCAAGGTCTCCAGATAGTGATAGTTTTGAATTTAATATGAGGTCAACGAAGAGTATGCAAAGTTTACAATATTCTGGTGAGAAAGATGAAATAAGAAGCTACTCTAGAGCGGTAATTATTATACGATGTTGACTATTATTAATTTGTTTATCAATTAATAAATTCATCAAATTAATAAATTAAATTAATTTGTTTTGTTGATCAAATTCAATCAATTCATTAGGGTGATAATGCTGAAAAGGCGAGAAACTTTGAAAATTTACTCGAAAAAAACAACAATCAAACGGTCAAAATTTCTTTAACTCCAAATAGAATTAAAACAATTGAGGTACGCTTTTTAATTTCAAAATTTTTAATTAATATTAATATAATTTTAATTATTTATTAATTAACTCGGAAAATCGTTTTTTTTTTTTAAAAAAAACAAGACTCATAAAAGGCAACCTAAATTTGAACCGCGTGAGCCAGTGGTAAATGGTCGAATAATTTCAAAATCACCTACTGATGTTGATTTGGGTGATGATGATGATGATTTTGATGATTTTTCTAATAAAAAGAAAAAATCAAAAAAACAAGAAAGCCTTTATGAATTTTTAAAAAATACTGATCCGGACGATATTTTTGGTGATTCAAAAATTAGAAAAAAAGATTCAAAAGTGGACCTCATTCAAAGACGTGGAAAGGATAGATTGAATTATTTACCTGAATCTCCGACAACTCCTACCAATAAATCCAATAAACCTCGTTATATTCCTCTAATTCCTCCTGGAACTGATATTAGTAGTATAACTTCTTCTATTTCTCAACCTGAATATTCTTCGATTCATAGTAGCAAATCTATGGATCAATCTAATGATAATTATTATAATAATTCTGCGGCAAGCAGGAGCACTGGTCATCTTCAAAATGGTAAAAAATCCGTTCCCGTAAAACTAAAACCGAGACCTGAACCATTACTTTTAGATGATGATGATGAGATATTTTATTCTGATGGTCAAAAACGTTCAAAACGACGTACTCAAACTCAAGATCTAATAGATTTCTTAAATTCGTCTCCACCAAAAGATAAAGTTATATCTTCTCCAATAAAAACTTCTCCCGAAACTACTAAAAAATCTGAAAAGAAATTCAAGAAATTCTTTTCTAAATTGATGAAATCACCGTCGAATGAAGATCTAGATAATCATACCTCTAATTATAGACCAATAACTCCAAGTACTCCTAATAGTTACATTTCAACTACGAGTACTTTGGTTAATAATAAATCTCAACCAAAATATGTCAAGATTCAAATCCCTCAATTACCTGCAAAAGAAACTCAGGAACAAAGTATTTATGATCAAGTACAAATTCAAGGAAGACATGCTCGTCAAACTTCTCGTAATAGTTTAACTGGTTCTACTCGTACTCAATCTCCAAATAAATCAATGTTTTCACCTCATACTTCAATGACTGGTACATTGAGTAGTCCAACCATTGATGAAAATGCTGAACTTGGAAATTATTATGATGATGATGAACATTTCAATAAACCTATTAACGTTCGACAACGATCTCCTCCACTTTCACCATCAAAATCTAATAATCTTAATAATCTTAATAATTTTGTCAACAATAATACTACTATCAATGGTAATACTGTCAATAATAATATTATCAATAGTAATATCGTCAACAATAATATCGTCAACAATAATGTTACCAACAATTATAACGTCAACGGTAATATTGTCAATAATAATACCGTCAGTAATAGCATCATCAATAACAATAAGAAAGAAATTACAATGACGACAGTTCTCCCTAATGACAACAATAGGAAGGCAACTACGGTGACGAGAGAGGTTCTTCCTAATAATAACAATAAGAAATCACCTACACAATTTGAGCAACAAAAGAATGTAGTTGAACCAATAACAACTACCACCATTACTACAGTTTCAAATAGTAATCAACAACAAAAGAAATCTCAAATACAATCTGAACAACAGAAAGATGTAGTTAAATCATTACCTATAAAATCCGATGATCAATCTAAACGGTCGATTACACCTACTGCTTCAGATAATAATAATTTACAACCAAAGAAAACACAACCTGAACAACCAAAGAATTTAGTTAAACAATTATCTTCTGAACAAATGACAAAAGTCGCTACAAAAACTACTATTACTGCTGTTAATAAACAACCAACAAAAATCACTATCACTAAACAACCAACAAAAACTATTACTAATATCGATAATCAAAAGAAACCAGAACAACAAACAAAAGTTACTACTGATACTACCGTTAAAGTAGTAGATCAAATAACACCTGCTTCAGATAAACCAATAGATACTAAAGATAAATCTTTAGTAAAGATTAATGAGAAGTCAGATAACTTTATGCATGAACTAATTTACGCTGAAAGTGAGCAAATTTCATCAGAAACCAAAGAACCTGATCAAATAATTATTATAGAAGAAATAGATGAATCTGAAGAGGCGTTAATAGCTGAATGGTTAATTGGTACTGGTTTAACATTTAAAAAAGTTAGACCTATTGTAGTTGATGTTCAAATTTCGGAGGTAGAAAAACGAAAATCCTTAATTGATAAACGAAAATCTTTAATAGAAAAACGAAAATCTTTGACAAAATCTTTAACAGAAAAACGAAGATCGCTTCTAATTCAGAATACCGAATATGATGTAGGTCTTAAATCAGATGATCCTACTCATCTAGGACAAAGAAATAATAGTTTACAAGTTGATGCTTGTTAAATTTTTTGATTAGAGACAAATTGGATTCTTATATCTAAATATGTATGTACTGTAAATTATTGGGCTTGGAGATTATAAAGGATGATTTTTTTTTTTTTGTAACATTATTTTTAGTGAAGTGATGTATTATTATGAATAATTTAGTAATATATGATATTCTTTATACAGTATAACGTTTATTTTTTTTATATATATACAATATTTTGTTATAAATTTACATTATACGATCTTGATAAAAAGAACTAAAAGATTTATATATGTTTATTTATTAAGAAATTATTATTCTTATTAAAATTTTTTATTATTTAAAAAAATTACGTACGTACGTATTAAGAAAAATTTTTTGCAACCTTTTCTGATGACGTGTAGAAAAACGTGATTAATGATTACCAACTAAAAAACGTGATCAAATTATTGCTACGTTTATTCAAAACCACAAATTCCAAACATAGTAAAATTGTTCCAAACCCTATCTCTTACAATTTTTTTTCAAAATCCAATCCCAAAGTTTTACATGCATTTTATTTGCTGTAGGTACACCCTGTTAACGTTAGCATTAGAATCAAATATGATCTCTGAATAATGGTTACTTTTGTGCCACAGAGCCATAAACTTTACAACTTTATAGATATATTAACTTTATAGTTATAACTTTATATATTTATATTTAGACTTGCGTACATACGTACATACATACCTGCGTTTATCAGTTATTGAGATAGGGATAGCAGATAGATAATTATGATACGTACGTACAACCGGGTAAAATTCACCACCCAAATTTATTTCAAATCATGCAATAAGATTTCATTCTAAGTATATCTGATGAATTTTACCCAGTTCGTACTTATGTACCGAATATTACTTATTGTTATATGATTTTCCACATTTCTATAAATAATTCTGAAATCGGGCCTTAACGTTAATTTACCCTATTAAGATCCACCTATACTTAAACCCTAACCCTAAATCCTAGTTCAAATCTAAAAAAAATCGTACAGTACATTAAATAGGGGTTAATTTCAGCATTATCAGATTTCATTATCCGATTTCATAATTCGATTTCGTGACAAATAATGTCCGTACGCACGTTGAAAAAAGTACGTAGTTACTACTTAGTCTGGGGTGTGGTTGCATGGGCATGACGTCGGCGAGAAACTAATAATTAACACAAACCAACTAAACGAGTATTAAGATATTTGGTCTTATTGCAGTAATCATGAGACTGTAAGCTTAGTATTATAGTCAGGTTAATTTGAATTCACCTTTCCTAGCGCTTTTCTATATTTATAATACATTGCCGTAAACTGCTGTATACAAGAGCCGGGTTACTAATTTTAAAACCTATTAATAGACTCGACTAGTACAGGTCCGATAATTCGGGGTTGAATAGTACATGTTCTTATTTGTATACCCGGGTCTTTTACATTTTACTAAAACCTTATCCCATGTTATAGATCCGGTAATAGTACATAGGGGCCTGATATCTGTGAGGGTGCTATTCTACTTATAGGTGTAACAGACTTATTAAACTTTATTTCAAATAAGACTCGAGTTTCTCCTTAACGTCTCCTTAACGTCACCTTACCATTACAGATTAAGACCCGATCACGCAATTAATTTTATAATGAGAACAATTATTAGTATTATTTGCTCTTTAACGAGCTCATAGATAACAATGTAACGAACACAAAGACAAATAATGACGAAACTATTTTTATAGATAAAGGGGAATCTCTTAAATTCACTATGTTCGTTCGCTATGTGCAATATTATACCTATTTTTGTATTTGATATAATTCGTACTATAAAATTAAAAATTATCCAAAAATAAAGTACTGTAACTAGTAAGTAGCCCTTTCACAAGGTTACGAAGTATTCGGTAAAAATAGTACTGTACGGTGGTACATATTCGGACGGACATCTTGATGGTACCTGGTACTTTACGTACGGTTAACAGACCTGTAAAATTCAATTTCATAAATAATAGTTATGGTTAGGGTTCAGAAAAATACCACTAACGTCCTTCTTTCGTGTTAGGGTTAGGTGAGGTCATAGGTGAAATAGCTTTGTTTCAAACGACTTTGTTCTTTACAAACCATTCGTACTATCATGATTTCCACCGCGTATCCGTACCGTACTACTTTACCTGTCACTACATACACCGTGTTACGTACGTACGTACGTACGTGCGTGCGTACATATCAGATACCAGATATCAGATATATGCGTACAGTGCAAGAATATAAAAAAAACACAATCGTTCCTTATAGAGACTATGTAACGTAATTTCGCATATTCACATAATGACGCCCACCTGCAGGGTTCCTAATTTGTTGGCATAAAAGAAGTGGACTATTTAGTAAATATTTGATTCATTATGCTCGTCCTTTTTTATTTTGCCTCTGTAAGGAGTGATTGTGGTTTCCGTGCCACTAATATTATTTTCTATTTTAACTCAATTCTATTATCTTTAATACGTACGTACGTATGCAATATATCATTTAGCATCTTTTTTTAAAAAACCAAATAGGTAAAATGATAAATATTTACATTAGAGTTAGCACAATAATTGTACGTACGTACTGTACAAATACGTACGTATATTAGTAGGTATCCTATTTTTACTAGAAGTCACAAAATCTAAAATTCCATCTTACCAAATTTAACATCACCATTATTCTTTAAATAACTAATTTTTTCTATATAGTTTAAAATATTTTATTACTATCTTGCATATGCAAGATCTAAGAGTTAATTTCAGTCGGGTGCAACTTCTTGCAATTCCGAGAAGGGTGACAAGTCACGATATACGTTTATAGTGCGACCTGTTTGAAGAGACATTCAATTATATACTTTTTATATGCACAAGACCATATCCTACAATCCCGAAGTGGTTAATCTAAAACATACAAAATTATTGTCGCACATAAATTCTGAGTACGAAAATGGTTAAGGCTATACGGTTAATTATCTGTTATGCCAATCTAATATCTTAAATTTATTATAATTTTTATACAAATTTTAAAATTAAAAATATAAAGTTTCTCTGAAATTTTTTTTTTAAAAAAATTTAAACGTAAACTATATAATTATAATTTACAATCAATTAATTATACTGTAATTAATTAATTTTATTTATTATAAAACGCGGTTTGCATCTATTATGTTTATATATATTTTCTAAGTTTTTATAAGTTCTGTGCATAGCACAAAGTTTTCATGTTGTGGTTAGTATTTAGGTTAGAATTAAGGTTTGTGAAGGGTTTCGGAGCCGTAAAGTATTTTACTTAGAGCACCGCATATCACATATCGGCAGATTTGTGGAATTTGATAAATAGAAAAAAAACGAGCCGTAGCTCTGGCCAAATTTGCAGATCATTTGTCCAGCTTTGAAGTCAAAGAATTTCAAAGCTGGCCAAATGATCCGCGAATTTGACAAGAACTACGGTTCGTTTTTATCTATTTATCAAATTCCACAAATCCGACGATATGAATTAATTAGCCAGCTTTTAAGATAATGCAACATAGGTGGTAAAACACCATAAATGCGTTTTTAATAAAAGTAGAGTGGTTACCTGGGTCACCAGTCGAAAATTGCTCCAACCCGGGTCGAACGGGTCAGAATTTGAAATAGGAAAAATCCTACTAATATATAGAGGTACGAACCGGATGCAAATTTATCACCCGGGTCACCCGTATAACTTTGAAATCGGGTACCCGGGTGAAAACGGGTTATACGGTATAGTGTGATTTATCGTTCTAATACCACTAAAAAATGAAAGAACTTCTCATAAAGAAGCTTACAATCTAATAAATGCACATAAAAAAGAATTTGTCACATACAGTCAGACCTCTCTAAGTGCACCCTCTATAAGTGCACACCCTCTCTAAATGCACACTCAAGTTCCGGCCCAAAAATATACCTGACCTTCTTAAATGCACCTTTTCTTATTATACTCTATATGCACGTTATTAAAGTGTGGTCCCAAGGGTGTGCACATCGAGAGGTCTGACTGTATTTAGAAACAGATAAATAGTAGTAAATTGATATTTTATCACTGATAAACCCAAGCTCAAGTCGATCAAAAAATTCAATATGTGGATCTTTGCTAGGAAAATGACCCTACGGGTTATTGTTATACAAGAGTTTTATTAAGAAAAACATAATAAATCTTTTTTAGAAAAAAATCCTAGCAAAGATCCCATGTGAATAAATTATCAAATCTATATATTTTTCACATCAATGGGAATAAGGGATAAACCCTCAGTTATCTGGGGGCTGAAGGGCTAAAGATCTACTGGATTATTTTCTGTAGCAGTAAAACAATAAAAAAAAACAAGTTTTTAGCAATGCATGTTATTTTCCCAGAAGTTGGGAAAATAACAGCATTGCCAGGAAAAGCAAGCATTTCTAGAACTTGATTTTTTTACTAATTAAAGTATTGATTATAAGTTGTAAAACCCAGTTATACAATTATATAAAAACGTAAAATAACAGAATTTATCAATTAGTATAAAAAAAAGGCATGTTCAGACCCAGATTATAAATTAGAAACCCATTTTAATCTGGATCACCAGGTTTATATAACCCAGTTCAGACCTCTACTAAAATACTATATTATATAATTTAAGCATGGTGGACTATTATGGTAGTACAAGCTTTTCAAACTTGAAATTTGTGACTCTGGACCAATCTGTCTAATAAAAGTATGAGAAAGATCGATTACATAAAATTTTTTATTTTTTTTTATATTGCCAATATAGAAACTTTATTTAATTAATCAGGATTCTCTCTAACAACAATTGTATATACAGTTTCTAATTATATTTGTGCTATTTAACTAGTCACCTAATGTGGCATTATACTCCTTATTTTCCCTATATTACTTTTTTATTAACTATTACAAGCCAACTTCAAGCTAGGGTCGGTTGGAGCAATCTATCATTACATGTCTCACCCATGTAACTATTTATTTTCTATAATTTTCTTTCTAATT